TAGTAGTAGTAGTAGTAGTAGTAGAGACGTAGTAGAGTAGTAGAGAGAGAGAGAGAGAGAGAGAGAGAGAGAGAGAGAGAGAGAGAGAGAGAGAGAGAGAAGAGAGAGAGAGAGAGAATTTGCATTTCAAAAAAACAGATATTCAAGATAATCCAAACAAGAAATTTGCCTTTTTTTTATTTCTACCGGATGTGATCCAAACAGGGAATTGACATAACCAGGAAATCTCAGTTCCAGGATTGACTTTTCCTAAGATTGAAAAATCCAGGGATCCAAACGGGCCCTAAAATGTGGAGATATTTTGTTTTTTTAGGTAGTTCAATGGTAGGAATAATTTATTTTTTACATTTTTGGGTGATTTTTTTAGTAAAAATGGAATGTATTGCTAATGTCAACCGCCAACTACTCAAGTTTAATACTAGCATCCACCCCAAATTTTAACTTGCAATTATTATATTTTCTTGTTTGTTGCCCAAGAAAGAAAGCTGTAAATATTGAGAAAGTACGATCCCAAACAATTTCTAGGGGCCATTAGGGTGTCAATGAAGTCGGATTGAACCGTCAACGCAACCAAGATTTGGGTCCATCCATGGCATTGCTGGGTGAGGTTAGGTTCCACTCTAGGTCCACCCCTAACATTGTTGGGTTGAGTTAGGTTAGGGTTGAGGTTGAGTCGACCAAAACACACACACATAGGATATAGTTTACGTATGGTGTTCACCTTATACTATTGAAATAAGGTGTGCCTAAAAAACCAAGGTTGTTCTAATGTTAGAAGACCCTCAAATTTACTTCCTCCACATCGAGAAATAAGGATATGCGAACAAACAAAATAAAATTTCAAGTCATGAAAATAGTGCTTGTAGGCCATACTCCATTTTAGGCATTTAAAATTTCATAATGGGACTTTTTACATTATTGAAGGGGATTTCCTCAATGTTGTGAAATGGCGTAAAGGGGATCAAAAACTTCATTGGGAGTTGAAATCTTTGTTATTTCTGATTTTGGATCTCGCCTCCTCTTTTTGTCTCTTTTGTTGATGTGCATTGGGAGGCTAATGTGTTAGCTGATTTTCTGGTCAAATGAGGTTCTACCCTCTAAAGCCGTTATTTTGGATTTTGTAATCTTGTTCTAGATTAATAATATATTTGAACTTTCTCTCAAAAAAAAAAAAAAATCATAATGGGAGGTGAGTAGATTTTGGGTGTGGTTTGTATAAGGCCGGGGCTCTAAACAATAAAAGTAAAGCGCACTTTCAAATAGTCTTGAGAAATGTAGTTTCAATATTGGAAATCTTTGTGATAACCTTAAAATATAGTTTCAACTCTAATTATAAAATTTAAAGCTTAAAAAATAGTGCTGCTTGAGCAGATCTACAAAAACTTGAAAACTTTGAAAATTGACGGTCGAAAAATACATTACAAGAAGCACTATTTTCAAAACTTGAAATAAAAATTTTTCTACATGTCCAAGCATCTTGAGGTCGGGATGATCGATTTGAGGATATTTAAGCATTAAAATAACCTCTTCTAATGAAATTTTTGAGGTGAATCCTAATTTGATCGTTTAGAGCCTGGCACTCAAAACTTTTTCCCAAGGCCTGGCACTCATAAAACTTTTTCCCAAGGCTTTCCAGCGCCACAACTTCTTTTTCCGGCACAGTTTACATTAGCGCCTACTTGGAGTTCTAAGTTCAATTGACCTAGAGCCAAGCAGGCCGTAGGTAGGACCTCGTCAGTTAAGGTCCATATGGGGCTAACCAGGACACCATCCGACCCTTCATGACACTAAGTAATTTTTTTAGGAAAGCTGCTTCAAATGTATTTTACGCGTTAAATCAATTTTCAAAGTCACAGGGAGCTGCTCTCGAAGGCAATATACACTGTTGTCCCAAGGCCTGAAAGCAAGTTAAAAATGAGAGAGAGTGTTGTTGTTTTAATGGAGGTTAGATAAGACGGAATAAGAGGATAATAGACAGTGATGAGAGAGAGAAAAGCGAAAAGTTTATTTTATTTGGAAAAGTAATTAGGTTTGAATGTGACGGAATCAGATGGAGAGAGAATGACGTCGTCAAATAAATATCCATTTTAACTCTTTTGCCACAAATGCAGACCGCATTTGTCAATAAATGACCATCCCACAAATAGCGGGGATTCCCTCGTTTCTAAATAAATGAAAAAAAAGAAAGAGTGAATTATTCTGCTCTCTTTTCGCTAAGTCCCAATCACTTTGCAGTAAATGGAACTGGATTTTCCACTAAAGCATGTGGCACCAAACCTGAATTCCCTACCTAAATAGAAAAAGGGCAGCCAATCAGAACCGCGAACCAATCTCTCTGCACAAATACAAATGGTAAAAAAGGAACTGGCGTGGATAAAGAGGGAAAGTCTTTTCTTTAAAAATTAAAACGAATAACTACCAAAAGAAAGTGAGGGACCTCCAAACCCTAAAAAAAGCAAATGGAATAATAATTATTTGGGGGATAATGGGGGGGGGGGTGGGGCGCCAGGCCCGTAGAGGAGGCACGTGAAGGAAAGAGTTTCATTGGTCCACACCGCCAATGGGTGTGCACACGCCGACACGCGTCCCCTGGCATTTGGCCTAAAATAATGTCTCATATGTACGGACATGTACGATGACGTTGACGTCTTTCTAACCAGGCGTACGGCCATCTGATATCGGATTTTTTTTATCTCCGGGCTATGCCATTCCGGGCCTGAGACAGACGAGGTGGGCCCCAGGGAAGTGTCAGCTTTTCCAAAAACGGGATGACGCCGTGTTTTTTTTTGTTCTTTCAATTTTGGGGTAGGTTATCTCTACTCCTCGTTTTTCTTTTCCTTGAGCTGAGGGCTTTTTCTGCAACTCTTTTAATTTTAGAAGTTTCCCTTTTTTCTCCTTGTGCTGCAACTCGTTGATTTTATAAGTGCGAGGGTTTTGTTTCTGAAAAGAAAAAGGTATGGAATTTGGATTGGAGGTCCTAAAATGTGGCACAAATAGCACCTTTAGCATCTTTATGTTGATGTGATTCTTTCTGTTTTTGTTTGTGTTGGATTGTGGATATGTCTCCGCTTTTATGTGTGCATCTCAGTTTTCAATTTCATCGTTTTATGTTGGTGAAGGCTTTGTTTACCAGTCTGGAGAGATGGTGAGGGGAAAGACTCAGATGAAGCGTATTGAGAACGCGACCAGCAGGCAGGTCACCTTCTCCAAGCGGCGCAACGGCCTCCTCAAGAAGGCCTTCGAGCTCTCGGTCCTTTGCGACGCAGAGGTTGCGCTCATCGTCTTCTCGCCCAGAGGCAAGCTCCATGAGTTCTCCAGCTCCAAGTAGGCGTCCCTTCCTCCCTCTCTCTTCTCTCTCTCTCTTCCCAAACTGAAAGAGCAGTTCTGTCACAGTGAATGAATGGGTTGCTGATTCGTGGGTCTCGAGAAGATGTCATTTCTGTAGGGGTTGTGTCATAATAGTATCTTTTTTTTGGTGGTTTTCCCATACCCAGAGTCGAACCTCATAATATAATAATTATAGTTTGAATGAATTTAGGATTTTCTATTTTTCGGTTGACATTTGTCCCTTTCCTATGGCGGCAAATCTGAACACTGAAGATTTTCTAACAGACGCGTTAAATGTTGCCACATTTTCCGCTTCGGTTCGTTCGAACTTCTTCATTAGCAAACCTTAATTTTAGGAAAGTCAAAATCAATGAGAACCCTTCAAATTCATGAGGAGAAAGAACCTTTCACGCATGGATCTCATCTCCTTTTTTAGTTTCATGGATTCATTTTCTTCAGATTTCATCTCCTATTAGGGTTTCAAGATTCATTTTCTTCAGATTTCATCTCCTATTAGGGTTTCAAGGTTCCATTGAATCAGATGACTTAGGTTTAGAGAAGCCCTCGGCCTTTCGACTATGCACAGCCCTTCGAAATTTACAGCAAATTCATAAACTTCAACTGGTTTCTTGCCAGATAAATTAAATGGAGCCAAGCACACTTACATTAGCAAATTATCATGGAAAATTTGGAACCATTTGTACACGGGATTTCATTTTCCTGGTTTTCGACCCGGGGAAAAACTGGTAGGTATTACTTTCTCCTTGCCCACTCATGAATCACTTGGCTTCCCAAAGTTTGATTTCATTTTCTCTTCAATGTGCTGCTATTCCTGCCTTGGGCAGTCGATTTGGATATCTTATATTGGCCTTTGTGCCCTAGAACCACCAGGTTTCGATCATTATAGAACATAGAAAGGAATTATACTGAGTTTCAGACCTTAATAGTTCTTAAATTTCTTCTTTCTCTTTCCTCTTTTTTTCCCTACCTTTATCTCCGTCATGTGTATTCAATGAACAGTTAACCAGAAGGACTCTTGCTAATGTCCTTAACGTCCTTTTGAGTGAGACTATTCAGACTCATCTGTGGCCGTACCTATTTGGAGCATCTATCGCCTAAATTTGAGGTTTTTCTCGGTGATTAAACGAGATAATGAAGATTACAACCAACTAGTGAAACATTTTTCTCTTTTCTTGCAATTACATGGAAACCTAATCCACGAAAGCAATAAAGTAAACAAATATCCTGATGGTAGAGAACACAAGTTGTTCATATTGCTGGTGCGGTGGTGCTAGATATGATTACATTGGAAAGAAAGAGACCTACTGAGGATTAGGATGTAGTGCCATTAGTTTGCACTGTAGCCGATACACGTGCGAATTGTGATATGATTAACTTGTCAAAGATTCGAGAGATTTTCATTTGTTGATGCAAAACGTGCAGGATGTCGTAGCTGATACCAATCAATTTTCACATATTGATTTCCATTGAAGGGGGCTGAGGAGAGAGTTACTTTTTTTCTTGATATTAAGGGGGCTGAGTAGTGACTTGCAACACGTAAAAAACTTGTCAAGCATAATCCATTTGATTTACTTCCCTCTATGCTTTTGAAGGCCTGAGGAAGACGTACACACTTGTTGGATTGCTTGGTCTGGCATTTGCATCCAGTTGGAAGAGGGGTTAAGGAAAATAGGTTTTGTAGCATGTCCGTATTGCTGCTTTAGAGAAGTTTGTGTACAAATTGATGCGAAGTGGATGAATGGATGGTAAATCAGTTGCAAGGGAAGCCCCATGGGTGGAACCAATGGTAGCTGTCCTTCAATATGGACAAGAAGTTTTAGCGGTTGGATCATTACCAGTGACTAGTTTTTCTAGTAGCATATGACAAAAAATGATACAGATTAAGGCCGCATTCGAAGTTTTTATTTTTTTTTCCTTTGCAATGTAAGAAATATAAGGACTTGTACCAGAATTTAATTTCCTAGGATCAGTTGATGATTTTGTGTTAGCTCCTAGCATTGATCAAAGGGTTTTGCTTGTAAATATCATCTTTTCCCCATGTTCTTTGATGGATGGAATAAGGGAACAATCCCTTATTCCTGATGACAGCTGATCCCCAAATTTGTGAGCTTGGTTGTAGCAGTCATGTGATACAAATATTTCGTCTGTAACAGCAATGGACTTCCATATTCAGTATTTCAAATACACAACTCAAAGGATGGTGTAACATATTTCTTTAGAATTGTACATTTTAGAACTGTTAGTATTTGGTTTCCAGAGAATAAAACACTTAAGAGAATAAACATATGATTTGAAAAATTAAATACTGAAAAAACTGAAAAATGATCATATGTTTTTTAATGTAACACAGTTCTTTAGAATTGTACTTTTTATGCTGGTCATACCACCATTATGTTGGGTTCTTATGCCATCTTTGAACTGTTAGTATTTTGTTTCCAGAGAATTAAACACTTGAAACAATTAACATATGATTTGAAAAATGAAATAGTGTAAATTGTATATTAGAATGATCATATGTTTTTTAAATAGGCGATCAAGCATTTAACGATTTTACATGTGATGGTATTCATCACTAGGATGGTAATGACACTTACATATGTGAGTGATGGAACTTTTGATTGAAGTTGTAATTGCATCATACTCACGGTTGATTGTCACCATTGTTGCAAAATGAACCAAAAGGGAACTTAGTTCCAACATTGTTGGGTTGTATTCATTAAGGGTACTTCTAATTGACAATTTTGTTTGATATACATATATAACTCAAGAAAAATAAAGAATTTCAAGCTTTGTTTGGGTATATGGCTAATCTTTGGTTTGTAGATTCTAGTGTGAATGTTTATTTTTACTTTCTGTTTTAATTTGTTATTCTTGCTTTTTTGTGTAGATTACAGCAACTAATTATTTTCTTTCTGTTTTGTTCTTTTCATATGATTGTTTTTTTATAGATATGCCCATCTATCCATTGAAATATCTTAACTTGCACTTCACTGTAATTATGCTTTCTAGTGGAACTAAAATGAAATTCTAAAGACTTCCAAGAATTCCTTTTAAACGCATTCTGCGTAGACTTCGGGTTACATAGATGGATCTTCTAAACCTCCTTCCAAACTCATCACAGAAGAAAAGATTGATGGTAATGGAAAGACGGACGACGTAGTTTCCACACCCCACTTATGAAGAATGGGTTGCTAATGACCAGGAACTCATTAGATGAATCATTACTGATTTATGGAGGCGATTCATGACTCCTTTTCGCTTGAGTTTGAGGCACATGTGATGCATTTGAGGCTTCAAACTAGCACATGCAAGCATGAGAAAATGACAATCATGAAATATTTTAACTAAATCAATGGGCCTTGGGATCCGCTTTCCATGATTCATTTACCAATGGGTGACGAAGATGGAAGTATACTGTGTACTCCATGGTTTGAGAAATGAATACAAGATGTTTGCTACTTCTGTTAGGAGCAAGCCTGCATTTCCATTTTTCTTTGAATTTTGCCCCTTGCTATTTCAGCACAAAGCCTTCTTTATGTAAAAAACTTGCGGCTATGATGATGTATTAGTCCCCGCCGACTCTATCTGACAATGGAGGAAGAGGAGGCCACAGATGTGCTCGTGGCTACAGAGGGCGTGAGTCAGGCGTTCCCTACTTGACTAGGGTTGTGATCTTCTCCCTACAACTAATAATTTTCAATAAAAATACCAATGCTGGAAATAATTGTCTGAGGTATCAAATTTGTTATCTCCAATATCAGATCACAGTGGATTGTTACTATTGCCATAAACAAAAGGGGAGAAAACTTGAGAAATGTAGATAAAGTTGTTGCCCTCAGCGGAGACTATCTTTTACATAACCAAATAATCAAACAAAGATTATTGATAATAGGGTAACCAACAATGTCAGTGGAGAACCTATTAAATTCTTATCTAACTTATTAAATTCTTATCTAACTTTCTTGAAAAAATACAGCAGTTTGCTTGTAGTTTTTGGTAGAGCTTGGCTCCTCCCATTCATTTTCTCTCTATTCATTCTCTCTTTGTGTGTGTTTCTCTCACTAAGTTGCTGTGCTCTCACACTTTAGCCCTATCGTACCTACAGAGTTAATTTGGTGAGCGTAAAAAAAAAAAGGAGTCTCTAGTGGATATATTGAAATAGTAAGCGATATGTTTGAGGGAGCGCTAACTAGTGTGAGGACAAATAGTTGAGACAAGTGAGTTTTCAATGACAGTAGGCTGCATCAGGGGTCAACTTTTGCTTTACTTATGGACAAGTTTATTAGGCATCTATAGCATGAGGTACCATGATGTCTGTTATTTGCAAACGCAGTAGCTTTGATTGGTGTGACCCATTAACGTAGAGCTAGAACTTTGAGGAAAGCTCTGGAGTCCGATGCTTTTTAAAACTTGCCAAACTACAGTATGATATATAGAATGCATGTTTACTACTAATAAGAGTAGAAATGAGAAATTAGTTAAGACTGACGGTGAAGTACTTAAAAGAGATTAGTTTTGATATCTTTGGTTTATAATCAATGAGAATTGAGGGATTGTGGAAGAAGTGCATAAAATTATATCCAGATGGGCGAAGTGGATATGTATTCTAGAGTCTTATGTGATCGACCCATGCTAATGAAACTAAAGGAAAGTTTTATTGGACAGCCGTAAAATTAGGGGTGCTTTATGGGACAGAATGTTAGGCGATCAAGAAACAACATATCCATTGAATGAGTATAGTTTAGATAAAGATATTGGATAGATGAGTGGCAAGATAAGAAAGGACTGAATTAAGAATAATTCAATTTAACAAAACTTATGGCTGGCTCGAATAGGTGATAGATAAGGGAAAATAGACTTAAGTGGTCTAGCCATGTGCAGTGTTAAACTAGAACAACATCAGTTAGGGGAAGTGATTTGGTTCAAGTTGAAGGGCTCTTAAAGGACCAAAGGGAAGGCCTAAAAGGACATGGATA